CAGTGTTATTTTAAACTTTTAAAGTGATTAAAAAAATGGTTTCCCAATTTATTTTATTGTTTTTCATGCAGATTAGCACCAACATCTTCCGGGCTCTTCCACCAAGCGACAATCCAGATTTTGACCCAGAAGAAGATGAGCCCACTTTAGAGGCTGCATGGCCTCACATCCAAGTAAGGTTTCTTGACCTATGCTCAAAATAAAAATTCTAGTTGTGTTAAGGCCTGATAGAAGTGTTTATTTCTGTATATTTTCTTTTTCCCGCTGCAGCTGGTCTACGAGTTTCTGCTTCGCTTCTTAGAGAATCCAGACTTCCAGCCCAGCATTGCAAAGCGATACATTGATCAGAGGTTTGTCCTGCAGGTAGGTGTCCTTCTCCATAATGTTTTGCATAGCTAATTTATTGCATCACATTGTTTTACAAACCTATTTTACAGCCTTGACATATAAAACTAGGCTCAAGGTAAGAGATTTGAATCCGGATTAGATCAAGACACTTAACTTTTTGTTAATGAATCAGACGTGCTGTTGTAAACTCTTCTTCATATGTTCACGATCGGCACCCAGCTAATCCAGGAATGCTCCTCGTCTTGTAGCAGTTGCTAACAGGCATTATAAGGTCTGGAATGTCAGCCAGGCCACATCCGAGGTGCCTGGTCTTACTTTCCATGATGTGAGTGAGTCGTTCGGGAGCTTTAAATAGCTGCTTGTTGTTTACTTTTTAGGGGAAGAGAAGAAGAGTGTGGTCCATCACTGGCTGGCAATAAAAGGCAGTTAGAAATGGCCTGATTAACTTCAATTATCATAAAACAGAACTTTTCCACTGAGTTGAGCCACAGCCAGAGAAAAAAAAGCAGGAGTCTTGATGGCTTTCTTTGCAGCTTCTTCGTGTCCGTTTTTGTGCTCTTCCAGTTTAATGGGTTTATTTAATATTTTTGGTTATGCTGGATCAACTGCTGCTTAGCTTAAGAAAAATAACCATATGTTGAACATATGCTTGAGTGTGTTGTCAGGCTGTATTTTAGGGTTGTTGTGTTTTTTTTCTTTTTAGCATTGCTGTTTCTGTGTTGCCATGGGGGACCTCAATTTGTGGTTTAGCATAATAAGGGTTTTTTTCCCCCCAGAAGCTTATAGACATTTAGAGTAAAACCCACATCTGGTGCACAGTATTTTATCACATTATTATTTTTTTCTGGTTAAGCTGTAATTAAGAAAAAAAAAGAAAAACTAAATAAGGATGTAAAGTGGTTGATTTGTATCTCATGGACGTCTATACATTTGATGTGGTTCACATAAAATGTGCATCCTTTTTTATTTGTATTTCAAACTGATTCCAAAATTGGAGTCAAAAAACACATTTTTGTCCCTGAAGGACTATAAAACAAATCTGCAGCTTATCTTTCTGTGTTAATGCAGTTTGCACATTTTGTTTAAAAGGCAGCAGTTTATTCATGCTATTTCACAGGACGAAGCTGCTGTGTCACTGTCCTCCAGAGACTTTTAGTAATGGCGTGTGGCTCTTTTGTTAGTCATATAAAACAGTGCAGGCTGTGTGCATATATTGGATTATGTAATGAATATAGATTGAGTAAAGTTTGATAATAGGCGTCTGTAGTGAGATGATTAGCCATGTGCTACACTAAACAATGTCCACCTACACAGTGTCCCCAGTCAATATAAAGCATTTATTTATGACCACAGATCAATGTTTGGGGACATTACTTTCCCCCAATTCATTGCTCGAGTTTTTCCTCTCCTTGGTATAATTACATGTTTGCCAGCTCATTTTGTGCTGCTTGATCATTCTGGCTGTTGCTGAGTATATGGAGAGAGATAAACTGGCTCCAGTAAACTGTAGCTAACCCATCACTAACTGTTCACCTTGTGTGCCTTCTTCTGGGGACTTTTTTTTTCTGACGGCAGGCTTCTGTTCTATTCAGACATGCTTCTCTCTGGTTTTAGGGGTTTCTGCTTACCAGACAAAGAAAATCTATATTTTTATACAGCTTGTTGCTTCATGATATTGGCAGAATATGTGCTGGTGTTAGAATAAGATCATTTTGCATCCTATTCAGCAATTCAGCTTCACTCGACAAAATGAATCTGAAGCTAAAAAAAAAAACTCTCATTCTACTTTTTAAGTTGTATCAGATTAGCTGAAATATTATCTCTTGTTCAACTTTTTTTTTTTTTTCAAACAGTTTTTTTTTATCAGGAAAGTAAGCATGAGGGTGAAGGCTTTAGAAGCCACCATCGACTGACTGTTTAATTTGACTTTGTCCGCCCAGTGTCAGTAAGAGCCTGAGGATTTGGACACAAATAGAAAGCAGCTCCACCATTAGAAAGTCATTTCAGTGACTATTTCCTACAGTCATAATTCTATGAGCCTGTGCAGAAATTAAAGCATCTTAGCTTTTCTTTCTAAGAATTGTCATCAGCTGTTTGTTGCGTGACAACTGTGCCAATGAGTTTGCTGAGAACCTGCGTCCTTGTGCAACCCTTTGATTGAATATTGATGTCCCCTTTAGGCAAAACCAGCACACCCTTATTATTCTGTCTGCCTCCATTTCATAAAACAGACAAGTCCACACCTCATTTAAATATTATTGATCAGCTTTAGTGCTGATGTGAGTGGTTATGTAATTCTTGACAGTCTACTGGAAGTGAATAATAAATGTAACTATGAGTGATGGATCCATCAATTTTTAGCTTTGACACATAGCAAAATGTTCTGCTTATACTTCTGTATTTGTAAGGATGCACCGATGCACACCTTAATTCAGATATCTGTCGATATGTTTTCCTGACCAGAAGAACTTGTAATTTTGTCTATTGAGAAAGATTAACAAATGTATCAAATATGCATGAAGATACTTGTCTGTTTTTTTTAGTGAAAGGAATGCCAACTTTTCTAAGTTTGTTTCCTAAAGTGATAGTCCTTGTTTGGGACTCAACATTGCAAGAATGAAGACCCCGTTACCCCCAGTTTGAACTAGCAACGCAGGGTGTATATAATATACTGTTTTGCAAAGGTAATTAATTGAGATTTGACTGGAGTATTATTATTTTTTTTTTTATAAAATTGGAAAGGTGTTCACCACAAAATAAAATCCAATGCATCCAATTGCCAATACATTTTTTAAATTTAGTTTTCCTATACTGAATTTGATCAAAGCATAAACTCATCCATCTTGTGGGGAAATCCAGGGACCCACTGTCCAAATGGTCTGGAATATTTTTTTTTTATTGCCCAGAAGATGGTAGCATATAAATATTAAATTTGTAATTCCAGACATTATTCCCTGTTCTTTTGTCTTTAAAGTATTTAAATGTAAATATTTCATCAGTGGCTCAATTTATCCATCATACTCTCACCCCTAAGCTCGTTCATGAGTTTTTCCATCCGTCTGTCTTTTAATCATCTATGTGTCAAGCTAAATGTTTGTCCCCGCCTCCACCAATCCATCCATTCACCAGTTATTCCATTCATCTGTCCATCCATCTGTTAATACATTCATTTCTGCAGTCATTCCGGCAAATCATTCATCATGTCATTCCTGAGGTTGATGCACAAATCAACGTGCTTCTCATTATTCCTCGTTTGATGTTTTATATCTTTACTTCATAGTGAACTTTTAAACCATTGAAAACTGCTCAAAAAATGACATAAATAGTAACTTTAGTCTGGAACAGAATGCATTTTTGACCAGTGTATTAAACCTGGACGGTGTCCCGTTCATCAGTGTTGGTGAACAAACGTTAACATAAAGATCCAAGAAAAAATGGCCCCTTATAGATTAAGTTTGTGGAGAAGCTTTAACTCTAAACTAGAAGAGATGTTCTCCATCTTAGCTGATCTAAACTTAACCTCGTCTTTTAGTTTAGACTCCACCCATCTGGTCTTCACTGAGCGGCAGCAAATTTACCTATTGTAGAAAAGACCTGCCAAGATCCATGGGAACCCAAACCGCATCAAAGAAGGGAGTCTGTTCAAATGGGAACATGTACAAAAGTTTGACCTACATCCTTATCACTTTGACGACCACTATCCCTCTCAAACTTGATGGCAGCATCATGATCTGATGAAGCCTCTGCCATAGAGTATAATTCATTTATGCTGATATACATCAGATGGTTCTTAGACATTAGTTCTGAATGCATTATTTTCTAAAATCTGTCAAACATTGATTTTAAACTTCACAAGTATTTAGAAAGTCCTCACATCAGATTCTTTTTACCTGCCCCCCCCCCCATCTTGAGATTCACTGCATAGCAATAAGTCATTAGTCGGAGCATGTTGACAACAGTCTTTTCCTTGTGTAACTCCACCGCAGCAACACTGTTACAACAGTAAGACACTTGCATCATTAAAAGGCACAGAGCAGCCGAATGGATTTAAATCTGCAGAGTATCAGGGAAAAAAAGCCCACAAACATGATGAAGCCCTTTGCTTGGGTATAGACTAGAATAAAAATAGGCCGTCACCAAGGTGGCCGTAATAGGCTAGAAGATGAGCAGAGCGCTAAGCCCAGATCCTCACTAAAAGCCACAAACACTACTTTTTTTATTTCAGTGGCTTTGGCTTACCCCAAACTGTATTGTAGTACTGACTCATCACATGTTTCTGTAAATAGCTCCTTAATGCCAGGGGTTTGTAGGCTGCTCACACTGAGGTACATGTACTGTGTGCACGCCAAGTAAGGTGTAAGTGAGCTTGATTGTTCATCTAGAAGCGGTTGCCTCACAGCTGTGTCCATATTGGTAAGCTAAGAGGTTTCCAAGGATGCTTAAGGGGCATCGCGTTATGAAAGAAAGCTCTCTCTCTCTCTCCAACAAGTCGATTTATTATACAAGCTAAATAAATACAGTATATATCTGCATGTTAATGGGAGTCAATTTGGGTCATAAGGGGACAGCAATGACTATTAAATGAAATATGCAATGTTTGGAGTTTTTAGCTCACCAGCTGATTAACAATATGTTTGCCTCCACACAACAAGATGGATTAACAACTAAAGACATTAAATAATTTAGTTTTCATTAACAACTTTGAATGAATGAGGTTATTAGCATTAAGTTGGGTTCTTTTTCTTTTTTTGTTTTTCTCTGTGCAGCTGCTGGAGCTGTTTGACAGCGAGGACCCGAGGGAGCGGGACTTCCTGAAGACTATTCTCCATCGGATTTACGGAAAATTCCTGGGCTTGCGAGCCTTCATCAGGAAGCAGATCAACAACATCTTTTTGAAGTGAGTTAAACGCAGTCAGGAAACGCTAGTATGTCATGTTTGAAATAAAAGCGCGAATGATAAAAAGATGGTTAAAAATATTTCAACAGAATTGCAATTTAAAAAGTGGGTGTTTTGCTTAAACATAACCTTTACTCACAAACTGCACCTTTAAACCAAACAAATAAACTGCACATTTACAACATGGTATTTATTAAAGGGTGTTAAAAGCACAATGGAAAATATGGCCGAGAGTTTTTGGTGAATCTCTAACTCTGCCCAAATCTAGTCTGTTTGCATTCTTATATGTTCTAGTATTAAGACTTAAAGCTTTAAGTGAGAACCACCTGTGGGGCTCTGGGCCTTTATTGCTCCTGTTGCTGCGTGACGGTGAGCTTTGCATGATTGAGCTAGGGAACACTTGATGTCATATCCAACAGGTGAGGTGGCAAACGGGTGGCCGGCGTTGGCCATCTGCCACAGGGGATAAAAATAGGGCCACAGTTGTCAGGCTCTGTCTGTACATAGCAGCGTCCCACAAACAGATGGAAATGTTTTATCAAGCAGGTGAAGGTGCATTAGGTATACATCATTGATGCTCTTTGTTTTTTTGTTTTTTTCCACAGAGCACTTCCTTTTTTTTTTCTTTTTTTTTTTTTTTCCCCCCCACAACTGGAATAGTATTGAAAAGATTTGTAGTTTCAGTGGGCAAAACCAAAGTATAAATTTTATCCACAATAATGTTTTTATTTCTAATGTATTTTGTAAACATAATCTGTTAAGTCCTTATATATTTAGACTTCTTAATCAGTTTGACACTAAAGTGCTTTATATTTAATCTATATTTATTCTTTTATAGGTTCATTTATGAAACCGAACACTTTAATGGTGTGGCCGAACTGCTGGAGATTCTCGGAAGGTGAGGATTCTTCTTGAATTATAAAATGTTTTTCTTTGCCCTTAGATGACATAAAATAAATGTGTATAAATGATGAAAACTAGTTAAGATGTCTTTATATAAGTAACATCAGTATATATTAGCCTCTGGATACTGTTGGAAAGACAGCCGTTCTGCTGATGGGCTTTTCTTTGTGTTTTCTGTAATCTGGGAAGCTCTGTTTCCTTTGTTTACAGTATCATCAACGGGTTTGCGTTGCCTCTGAAGGCCGAGCACAAGCAGTTTCTGATGAAGGTGCTCATCCCCTTACACACAGCTAAAGGACTGGCCCTTTTTCATGCACAGGTACACAAAATTATGGCAAACTCTGTATTATAGCACCTTCTAGTGGCTCGGAAAGGAAATTACAAGCTGTTTCTCTTTGTGTTCTTTAGCTGGCTTACTGTGTGGTTCAGTTTCTGGAGAAAGATCCCACGCTTACCGAGCCGGTACTGTTTTTATCCTTCCTCCTACTCAAAGCTAACCACACTATACATGTCTGCTGCATAAAATTATTTTATAGCAGTTACTAGAAACCACCCACATGAATAAGCATAAAACCGAACTTCTTCTGGTTTCCAAAGGTGATCCGTGGCCTGTTGAAGTTCTGGCCTAAAACCTGCAGCCAAAAAGAGGTATTCTGCTGCTCTTTATACTCAAATCAGCTATTTTTGTCTCTTGTGTGGTGTCATATTTTTTAAAATATTCATCCCGCCTACTCAGGTGATGTTCCTCGGTGAAATAGAGGAGATCCTGGATGTTATAGAACCAACGCAGTTCAAAAAGATCCAGGAGCCGTTATTCAAACAGATTGCTCGATGTGTGGCCAACCCACATTTTCAGGTAAGCTGAAAATACATGGATCTTTTCTTTCTTTCAATACATCTGCCAACAGTGCACAAGCAGAAAATGCATCCCAGCAGAAATGCATAGAATGCAGATAGATCTTTACTCATAAACTCAACATTTAAGGTATTTAGATTCATTAAATCTTTTATATCAACATCTTTAATGGCGGATGGGATTTAAGTGGAGCCTTCAATGGTGCTTCCTGATATTTGCAGCTGATTAGCTTTCCTCAGACTTTGTAAATGATGTGCCCTGATTTTACAAACGTCTTAAAGAAACTGGAAAGTTGGGAATATTGTCTCTTTATAATGACTGCCCCTTTTATTTGAAGAAGGTTGATGTAGTTGCCATCAATAATCAGTTTGTATATCTAATGGTCTTTGAAAAAAAAAAAAAAAATGTTTCCATCAATCGTTCAGTATGAGCTGCTTGGTGGGTGTTGAATGTGAAGCAAAAGATTGTTTTTAAATAAAGTAAAATCTTTAATGAGTGATGGATTAACTATTCAGAAGCTTTGTTTTAGATATTTTGGATATAATTTTCTTAATTAAGTCATAGCTTCAAAATTTTAATCAAAGTTGTACATTTTTCAAAAATAATACCCCCACAGAGTGTCTAGTCTTTGATAAATGCATTAATTTTGCTAAAAAAAATAAGATTTTTTTTTTTTTTTTAGAAGTCTACAGAAATTTATTGATCTCACAGTTGAGAAATTCACTCGTTAAATCAGCTCAAGTAGACAAAGGAGGAGAAGAAGGTGCCAGAAGGAGGGGAAAAAAAAAAATATATATATATTTATTAAAATACCAAGATGAAGCAGTAAATGCATCTTCTTTCTCGCACCTTGGTTACATAAACATGACCTAAAATAGTTACAGGTTGAATATCAGTTTTGTGGATTTATATTTTTTTTCACTGAAGTTCCTTCCTACTCTGTCGTCACAGGTAGCTGAGCGAGCGCTGTACTTCTGGAACAACGAGTACATTCTCAGCCTCATCGAGGAGAATATCGACAAGATCCTTCCCATCATGTTCGGCAGCCTGTACAAAATCTCAAAAGAACACTGGAACCAGTACGTACCGCTGCCATAAAGGGTTTATTAGAATGCCAATAACTAGTTCCTGTCATAATGATAATAATAATAAAAAACTAATCAAATTTTTATTCAGACTTGTCTTTGAACAGCCAACATGATTAGCTTTCCTGCACATAAAACATTTTGCAGCATCTGCCTTAAATCTGTTTACATGAACACAGACAGAGAGACGCCACCAGCACGTGTGACACGCATGGTTAAGAACATGGTTATGTGTTTTGTTTTGTTTTTTGTATACAGATACTCGTATGTACATGATGTCCTCAGAGAGATGCTGTCTCTTTGGTGCTTTAGTGCTGCAATGATGCCATGTTATATCTGCTAAAGTGCAGCCAGAATAAATCCTAAAGAAATGCAGTTAATATGCTATTTTAGACATTTTTTTTCCCTTGGTTTTTCCAATAGTAGTTCTTTGCTTGATTTGGATGCATTTTTATTATTATATTTTTTTATGATTACAGTAGCTTAACCTTTGCTACCTGGAAACAGGAATCAAAATATCAATCTTTCTCAGAAATCAGATGTACCATCTGTTTTTATTTTTGTACTTTGCTAATTAATTTTGTCTTGAACATATACATTTTTTAATGATCTAATAATTGAATGTTTTTTTTCTATTTCTTTTTGTCACTCTTTTTGTCACTCTTTTTCTCTAAAGATATTCTCTCAGAAAGTAAATATCCCTAAAACCAAGTTTTTGAAAAATATAAACAGTTTATTTCAGATTATAGAACATAGAAACATTTCAGCACTCAGAAGGCTGCTTGAGTTATAAATTTAGCATATTTATATTGAAATGTTTTTTTTTTTTTTTCTCCTGAAATCAAATATGTAGTGTTTTTTTTTTGTGCAGCTTTCTTTAATTACTGCACCAAGTCAGCCAATGTCTGTGTAGTCCAGTTAAGTTATTAGATCACTAAATTAGTTGATTATTTTAGCAGTGTATTGATAATTTAATCTTAAATTTACTATCTTTCTGCTCTAGTTTTTGTGCGTATTTTAAACATAAAAAAATCCTGGATGTTTTATTTCCCTGTAATACCCTTTTTATACTAAAAGTGAAATCCACTTGTTTTCTCTATGTTTAAGAATCTTCTTTACATTGAAGTATTTCAAAAGTTAAAATCTGTCATAAAACTCTCTTAGAAATATAATTACCCCATCATGCAATATTTCTGAAGCTCTTGATTGTTTCTTGCTCCAGGACAATCGTTGCTTTGGTCTACAATGTTCTGAAGGCACTGATGGAGATGAACTGCCCACTTTTTGATGAGCTCACATCCTCCTACAAAGCAGAAAGGCAAAAGTAAGGAACAAGCAGCACACTTCTGAGGGAGAATTTGGATTTTAAAGTTTTCATTAAATGATGGGAGCTGGGTTTTAGTCTCAAAATGTACTTCCTTCGGAGCATTGCTTTCTGTACATGTTTTTTGTAAGCTTTAGAAACCTTGATCCAGACTGAAGGTGAGTCTGCAGGAATTACTATTACTATTACTTCCTCTGTTTATATGACAGAAAAATACACATTAATTGCAACTGTTACATAAGCCTTATTTTAAACAAAAATATTTGTCAGAAAGATTAACAACAGATAATATATATTAAGGGGAGAAACCAATAGTTCATCCAGTTTACAAATTCAGCTTTTGTGGAGGGTAGACTGCCATGCTTGAGTCATTAATCTGCTATATATTTTTCAAATAGATGGCTTTATTATATTTTTATTATTCATATTTATTCCTTTTATCTTTTACCAAATTTTATTGATTTGATTGTGTGACTGTTATTTTTACCCATGTTTTAGCTGTTTTGTTTTTATCTACTTTTTGTTTATATATTTTGTTTACTGTACAGCACTTTGGTCAGCAGTGGTTGTTTTTAAGTGCTTAACAAATAATCTCTGATTTGATTGGATAATGTCGATCCATAATGGCTGACAAGACATTTTTATTGCAAAAGAAAACGTTTTAGGACAGCGATTAGAGAGGAGAAAAAAAAAGATTTTTGTAATATTTCTTCAGTCTCCATTTTTTTGTGTGCAATGAATACAGCAAAGTTTATTGTTGATGATTATAAATGAATAAAATTGCATTATTTTTCAGTGCTTTGAAAAGAGCGTTTTATTGAAGAGCTGATTAGTGAACTGGTTGAATGTTTATCTTAGGGAGAAGATGAAGGAGCAGGAACGTAACGAGCTGTGGAAGAAGCTGGATGAGCTGAAGGTGAGCCGCGCCTCCATGGTCCAGAACAACAGCCACGGAGTCCCTGCTGTCCTCAACAACAACAACAGTAACAACAACAACAATGAAAACCAGGAGAACAGCAACGATGCTGGCGCCATCATGGCAGACAAAGATCCAGATGTTACCGATGCAGCCAGCGGGAGCGCCTCATGTGCCAAATGACAGCGGATGCCAGCTCTTTATTCTGAAGCGCTTCGACTTTTAGGACCGTTGGAGGAGGATTAACAAGGATGTAACACAAATTACACCTCAGCAGTATATGGAATCTTAGCTCCACAAAGAACACCAGCAGTTCTTTGGCAGAAAAAAAGAATATAAATATATAAATAAACATTTCCCCTTGAGACAATTTTTTTGGATGTTACAGTGTGGCTGCCGTATGTTTCTGTCCAATCAGAGCTGTATTCTTCCATGTTTAGTTTCGTAATCGATAATGATTTTTTTTTTTTTTCTCTCGTGCTTGGTGTATGATACGTGGGAGGAAGAGGAAATAATGACTTGAATTTAAACGTTTCCGACTGTGCTGCACTTAGAAGATGAAAGAAAAGAGCTGAACAGCTATTTAAAGATGTCTATTTTTAATGTGCTTTTCCTCATCGCTGCCCACACCTGTAGGTGCAAACCTAAGACGAGAAGGGAGCTCGGAAATGTTGGGATTGTTTTTCTTTGTTTCCGCATATGGGACCAGACCCGGATAAATACAGAGACCCGTATATATATATTTATACAGAGACCTGTTTATATGCAGAAAACGGTGTTGCAAGGAGACAACAGTCATGGCCAAAAATGATTTATGATAAATATTATTCCTGAAATCACTCTTCTTTTAATCATGAATTTAAAAATAAGATAAATTAGCTATTTTTTAGGCTATTTTTGTGGTTGCAGATGTTGGTAAACACATTTTCATTTGGGTGGAAACATGAAGCTAATATATTCACCACCTGAGTTTATACAGGACCTCACACTAAAGTATTAAGAAAGGGCTTTTGATATTCAAATTTATTTTTTTTTCTTTAAATAAATAGCTATACATCTCACCTTTATGCCAAGAAATAAAGGCTCTGTCCTGAGAAAAAAAAATCCACCAAATTAAAGCTATTAAGCACACTAATTCATACACACATGATCTGAGAGGATGCATTAGGGGAAAGTTTAAAGTATTAATCAGCAACATAGACAACATTTACCATAATCTGTTTGTTTTTTTTCCTTTAAAACTTCTAATCTAGAAATGCCAACAAAAAAAAAAAACCTTGAGTGTTTATGAATGTTTTGGATTAAGCAGGAATGGTAAGCACAACATGCCTCTGTATTTCTGCTCTGTGTTTATGGAGTTTGGAGGCCACTTGCAGGGAAACGCCACTCAGCTTCACGTCGCTGTTGTCTAGCGACAGTCTTTGACGGTGGACTGGAGAATTTCCTTTCATCAACCTGACTCTGTACGAAGCTATTTTAAAAAGAAAATCACACCAGAAAACAGTTAAATAAGAAATCTAGAGCATCAATGGCTTTTTGCTTAAAGCCTCTGATCATGGTGTGAAACGTTGACCCCTGACCTCAACAGGTTATAGGAAGGATATTGGAGATTTGGTGTTTCCTCTGAAACTGTTCTGTTCTGTTTCAGTTCATCCGTCGGTCTTCTCTGATGCCTTTCTGTCAGTACAGCATTCCAGCCTCTGTGAACTTTAAAGCAGGGAACCTGTTTTGTATCACAGATACTGTTTAGGTTTCACCATCAAATAAAGTTGACTTTATCTTTCTACTCTAAGAGTTTCTTTTTTTCCTGTGTTGCAGTTTCTAGCAAAGAGCAGCAGAGGGCGCAGTTGTATTTCTACAACATTCATACCTTCCTGCTTTTAGTCATGTGACAACCACAAACCTTAATGAATTTTAGCACGTTATGCGAATATTTTTTAATGAAGTTGAAACAAAGTATGGTTTTCAAAAGCAGAAGTTTTATTTATTTATTTTTCTTTAACTGTTACCTTTCATATCCCCCACATTTCTCCTTTAGAGACTAGATTTAGACTTTTTTGAGACCATCCAAACATTTAAAGTAAACCATTGTGGCTGTACGTTTAGTCACTGACCTGCTGGTAGGTGAACCTCTGCTTCTGTCTAGAGTCTTTCATTTTCTGCAACAGGATTTCTACAAGAGCAGCTCTGCGCTTAGTTTAATCCTCTCATTGTCAGATCAGAGCCTCCCTGTTGAAGACGAGCATCCCACAGCATAATGCAGCCATCCCTGTGTCACACTGAGTGGTTTTCCTTCCCCTTGAATTAAAGTGTGCGTGACGAACAGTTGTCCTGTCAGCACATCCTCCCACCTGGGCTGTGGATCCCTTTAGCTCCTCTAGTGTCACTATGGTCTCAGCCACTGCACAGACTTCTCCTTTCTCTGCCTTTTAGTTTAGCTAAACTGGCTTACAGTTCTGCCATGTTTTTATTGATTGATTGAACTGAGCTTTTCTAGACATTTAAAACTTGATAATTTGAGACTTAACTGCTTTAAACCTGTGTATCAATGACAGATTTCTGGATTTTATAGTTTTGTTTTTTCCCTTCACTAATTTTCTTTAACAGACCTCATAGGCCTGTGATATAAAATCCCAAGAGATTAAGTTGTTTGTTGTGGTGATGTAACAAAAAGGGAAGCTTAAGTGGTATGAATGCCATATAAGCCTCTCTAAAAAGGTTGAATATCGGAGGAATTTAAATTGGGTGTTGGGCAACTATTAGCCTGTCACTAAGACGATTTTTTTTTTCTCTCTGATGCAATGCTTTCAAAGTTCTTAAAGACAAAACCGTCCTAAAGGATTCTGTCGTGTTCTTTAGCACGCATGTTAACATGCTATAATAGCTGAGTAACAAGATGGGCTGAAAATCAGGTGCAAGCAGCAAAACTTAATCGGGACCTTTCGAAAAGATTACAGGATAGTCTGACTGTTTGCATATTTGTCATGTTTGATTAGAAGTTTTTATTTTTCTTGCTTTGTGCTTTTATTTTGTCTGTGATCAGTCTCTATTTGCTCTTTCCTTTAAGCAGAAGTTAGATTTATCGGCTCCCAGTTCCTCATGCTTTTTGCTGATGAAGCTGATTATTAATGGTCCCTTGCTGTGTGTTGGGTTATCCTAAATCCAAAGTATAGCAAGACTTTAATAGGGTGGAAAAATAAAGGATTAAAGCTGAAGTAAAATAGATAAAAGCTTTATTTGATATCAAATAAGAGGAAGAACAGTCATTTGATTTATGTTGCCGTTTTAAATGGTGTCAATATATGATTCCCTGATGTTACTCTGAAAAAGGTGGCTAGCAAAAAAAATGCACAAACTTCTTCTTGTCAGATTTATGACCAAAATACACAATATCTGGGTTGTAGATTAAAATCATTGACAGATTACTGCTCATCTGCCTTACCAAAGCAAAAGTCGCTTTAGTGGTTTCTTTTTGAGTATCTGTCTACTTTCAGACTGGACGTCTTCTTTAATGGGGAAATTCAGATTAAACAGAAAACTGCAGTAAGTAAAAACACAAAGTGCTTGTATTTTATTTACTTTTGCAACATAAGAGGATTTTGTTTATACTTGTCAAAATCTGCCCCTTGTTTCCTAACCTGTTTGAGGTGGGGTGGTGCAAATAAAATCAAGGCCCTAAAATAATCCTTAGGAGCATTTTGGATTCCCTTTGTGTGGCTTTGCATCCAGGGCGTTCCAGTCCTAGGAGCTTAAATAAGACTCTAATGTTATTAGTTTCTGGAAGACAGGGTGTCTTATGGACCAAATCCAAAAGATGGATCTACTGGAGGAGAAAGATATGTTTTAAAGCTAATTTTCTGTGTAGAAATGTTAGTTCTGACCCCGTGTTTTTTGACTTCTGCTTTCTGTTGTGGGCAGCAGGCTCTAGTAAACGTCCCCTGCTGCATTTGCTTCTTGCTGCTCACCATGTTTTTACTTTGTGGAGATTTGGGTTCTCCATCTTTAGCCTCTATGGTATTTTCACATTCTTCAGAACTTTACCAACTGCTGCTGTTTTACCTTTTGCACTTTTTTTGAGAAAAATGTGTCACACGCAGCTTTATTTTTACTTTACAGAAACAAGGGACGTTTTTTGGGGTTCATTTTGGTCATCTGGAGGCGTTGATATTCCAGGGATCTCTAGTTGGATTGGGGTTTTTCTGTGGGGAGTCCTATTTGACTGTGTTACAAACTTGCTTTTCTGATGCCAAAAACTCATCCAGCGCGGTTCATTTGTTGAGATTTTTAGTAGCAGGTTTCTAGTTTTCCCACGTAATTAATTTTGGATAAATATCTCTTGGAAAACACTTTTCGCTGCCAAAAAAACCCGCAAATTCAGACAACGTATTTGGTCATTTTAACATATAGGACCCTATTTTATTCAATGTATTTGCAGGAGAGGTAACGACTGGGGGCCATAGACCATCAGTGTTCAGTGATGTTTAGGTTGAGGCCCTTGAGAGTTATTTGGCTTTATTTACTTAAAACCAGATCTTCTGTTTGGTTTCGGGCTCTTTTTTTTTTTTTTTTTTTTTTTT